CCAAACTCATCCAGCTGAACTCTTAAGATCTGTGTGTTTTATTTCATGTAAATTATACTCAATTAAAAAAAGGAAGATGTTAGACAGGGAGGGGGCCAATCTGCATAGGAGCCCGGGATCCCCTGGGGAGAGGAGGGATGGGCATCTTCTTCTTTTTGAAGTTTCAACTTGAGTAGACGTTTCTAATAGACCGTCTCAATTAAGAGCGGTGGGCAGAAGAAGAGGCAAGGGGCCTCCAGAGAGGAAAGGGGGTGTCGCCCTGGTGATCTGGTGCAACCCCAGATTCAGATGGGAGGAGCGGCTGATTTGGGGCAGGGCACAGTGGTTTAAGCTGTGGGCACAGAGTAAAATGAGGGTCTGCCAGGCTGGATGTGCTGAGATCCCTGCTGGGGCTCTGCCGGGGGAACCTGGAACCAGGAGAAGAAGGAGGAGTCATTGCGAGACCCAACAGAAGAACGAGCTCCCAAACACCCATCCGAAGTTGGCTCTGAAATAGAATGAAGTTGACTCCACGAAGAAAGTAATGTTTTGTGCAATTTAAGAGTTAATCAATAGTTTTCTTCTAGTATTAGCCTTGACCAATACCCCCCTGCTTTCCAAATGGATTCTTGCATACCACACTTATTATTTATTGAATTATGATTGAAATGGATTTAGCATCTATCATGAGCCGGGCTCGGTGCTGGGCACTGAGCTCCTGCAGTGAGCATAATAGAGAAATCCTTGCACTCATGATGGGAGACAAACAAAGTATCCAAGGAATCAGTGGAGACAAGGGGCAGAAAATGAAGCAAAAGGGAAAAGATGAGGACCATGGGCCACAGTGTAGTGGAGGGGTCTGTGGTACAAAGCGGAGCAGGGAGAGCTGCTTTTTTTTTAAATTTTTTTTAAGATTTTATTTATTTATTCATGAGAGAGGGAGAGAGAGAGAGAGAGAAGCAGAGGGAGAAGCAGGGAGCCCGATGTGGGACTCGATCCCAGGACCCCGGGATCATGACCTGAGCTGGAGGCAGATGCTTAACCATCTGAGCCACCCAGGCGCCCAGGGAAAGCTTCTTGTAAGACGGTGTGGAGCGAACACGCCAGGCTGGGGTGAATGTGTGCATGCTGTTGGGAGTGCCTGATGGAATGGGCAGGACAGGGAAAGTGCTGCACAGTTGGCCAGGCGACGGGGACCGATGCTGAGTGTGGTGGGGAGCTGTGGGAAGGTCCTGACCCAGGGAGTGAGTGGAGCCGACACTGTAAGGTGCGCTCTGTGGGCTGTTTGCCCAGCAGGCCCGAGGAAGGCAGGGCTCTTCTCACCTTGGGGAATTCGAACTTGGGCCTGCCTGTCAGCAGCCAGTGGTTCCCCGAGGAGCAGCCGACGATGGGGGCATGGCTATTCTCCGGGTCCCCTTCTGCAAGTCCCTGTGTCAGGACTGGCCCTCAGTGTGGATAAGACAGTCAGGTGTCAGGGCCTGCCCCACAGCCCGCAATTTCCATCGCTTCTGCTAAAGCAGACGGCAGCTTCTGAGCCACAGGTTTTGGTCCGGCCCATGCGCAGTAGGCCACATTGTGAGGTTGCCCTTCGGGAGGCACCGGGCCCGGGCAACTCTTGGCACAGTGGAAACCTCCAGACTGCCCGGCGATGTCCCCACACGCCAATGACAGGGTGCCTTGTGGGGTCACCTGGGTTGCGCCCACTGAGGGTCAGTGGCTACAGTAGAGGAGTGAGCAGAACCTTAACTACCGGCATGTTCAGGTTGAGAAAACTTGAATGAGCTTGTTCCTGTTAGCTTTCTGGGCTTAGAGTGAGCATGAAATGAGACGTTTCACCAAGAACCCATTTGCTTCTTTGCCAGGAGAGAACCTGGCAGGAACTGGAGCTCCAGGGCCATCAGCTGACAGCATAATGAATGAACAAAGGTGCGACTTTCAGTTAGCCCCAGGTACCTGGGCCAGGTGACCAGCCCCACCTCCAGCCTGGCAGGGGAGGCCTCTCCTCCCTGTCCCGCCCCCATTTCCTGGATAACCACTTGTAAGAAGCTGCACTTGACTTTGTTGCTCTTGGGCACAGAAACTATAAGGAAGCTTAACAAAAACATCAAAATGCCTTTTAAAACGTTGGAATATTTGTGCTTTACCATTTTTGCCCTGGAAACACTTAGAATTAAGAATTGGCTTTTGCTGCTTTAGAAAATCAGACTTCTTGAGTCAAAGCTTATTTCAAAAAAGAAAAGTTGTGATTTCCCAAAACTATAAATAATTTAACATGTTGAGCCCACGCTTAAGGCACTGATATAGCCTGTGACCCTATGCCCATCTTTCTATAAATTATGCCTTGTATGTTTGTTTTTATTAAAGAGAGTTAAAGGGGCATCTGAGTGGCTCAGTCGGTTAAGCATCTGCCTTCGGCTCAGGTCATGATCTCAGGGTCCTGGGATTAAGCCCTCTATCCAGCTCTCTGCTCAGCGGGGTGTCTGCTTCTCCCTCTCCCTCTCCCTCTGTGCCCTCTCTCCCTCTCTCTCTCAAATAAATAAATAAAAGCTTAAAAAAAAATAAAAAGCCAAAGAGAATTAAACTTAGGTTTACAGGATTTCCTGACATTTCTTAGGAAACTGGAGAATTCCTGGAGCATCAGAAAACCAATGTTAGCCATTACTCTTAAAATTTGTGATTACTGTTGGTGATTGAATTTCAAAACTGAAACAAACAAGAAGAGAACAAACACTCCTTTCCTTCAATTATTTATGTATTCAGTGACCATTTATTAAGCACCTAATATTTGACAAGTGCCCCAAACCTTCTGGAAAGATCAAGGATCTGCACAATCTGTTAGAAAGTAGCTTGGACTGGGAATGAACCCTAGCTCTCAACCAACAATGGAATCCTGACCCTGAGGAACACCTCCTTGGGACTCTAAAATGTTAAAGAATTACGAGGCTGGGCAAGACCTGGGCCTCCCATCAGCCAGCTGATGGTCCAGCAAGAACAATTCATAAAGCATTTCAACCTGAAGTTTGACTCTAATTTCTTGAGCTATCCAGAAACAGTACAGAAATTTTAGTTAAAAAAAAAAAAAAGGAATTTAGAAAGTCACAAACATAGAGTTTTCTTGAGCAACAATAATGAAAGCAAAGGACATTGGTGACTCAGTCAGCTGGGGTTTTTTTTATTTGAAAAACATATTCTTTCATATAACTTAACCCTCTCTCTTTTAGGTTATTGTTTCTAAGGTTGATATGCCAAATATTGGTTTGACCTGAGAAAATATTTTAAAACAAACCTACTGCGTACTTATTTGGCACGCTGTGGAGCTCTCTAGTATTGCTTCAATACCAGAATGGGTTTTGATGCCTCTAATGCAAAGCACAGGGACGTGGAGAGATTCCCCTCTGCGACAAGAACTGTTTCTATTGGATAAATGTTTTGATCAACGGTTTGGGACCTTGATGGGGAAAGGGATGGATATTCAATAGGGAAACAGGAGGCCATGCAGAACTCAAGTCTGAACCATTATTTTGGAATCAATGTGGAAACTGTTCTCTTACCAAAACCCAGAATGAGACTTCTTTTATGACAGCAGCTCAGGGCAGACAAGAAAGTTGCAAAATAGATGTAGCAGCCAGCTGTTGTCCAATCGTAGGTTCCAGAGCAGACAGAACTAAGACCCCAGTGGACTTTTTGCAGAGACCGGCATAGGCAGAGTTAATCTCCTTAGAGCCCATGCTGCTGGAAATAGATAGTTGCAGAAATTTGTTGAAGATGTTCTATTTTAAGTCCTCCTATTGAGCAACTGCAGATAGAGACTGAAAGCTATCTCTGCAATTTGGTATGGAAAGTCCCGATATAACGAAGCAAGAATTCCACAGCAGATGGTATGGGATAAAAACAGCATGGGGTACATGGGAGACAGACAGTGGGAAAACCAGGGCAGAGAAAGCATGATTTAATCATACCTGGCTAAATTAATGGTGTGCTGTTTAGTGAGGAGGGATGGGAAGTTAATACCAAAACCAAGCCATACCTCATTTATAGAAATTATATGCATATACATACCATACACCTCCTCAAGGTGCAGTAAACTGTACATTGTCTCCTTTTGCAGTGTGGATTCAATCCCTTATAGTTAATACTTCTGTCTCTTAAAAAAATGTAAGAACATTGAACATTTTCTAGTATTGTAAAAAGACATATTGAGTCCAAAAGACTCATCGGACCCAAATGGTAATTACAATCAAGCATTAGGTGCCTAGAGAGGGACTGTCAGATACACAGCCCCTTAAAATTTTTAAATCTTGGCCATTAAGCAGTGGGTGTCCTGTGCCTTCCAGTGTTGCCCAAGAGAAATATGATGTGAGCCACGTATGTGTATTAACAAGGTAAAAAAGCAAAACAACAACAAAAAAAACAGTTAAAATTTAAAAGATAAATGGAAATAGGTAAAATTAATTTTAGTATGTTTTATTTAACTCAATATACCCCAAATATTATTTCAACACATAATCAATTATAAAAATAATTGAGATAGTTTACAACTTTTTTGTATTCAGTCTGAACTCCAGCAAATATTTTATACTGACAGCACATCTCGGTTTAGATTAGCCATACTGCAAGGTCCCAAGAGCTACAGTGGCTGCAAATCAGATCACCCAGGTGTGTAGCACACGTGTGCACAGGAACATTGCATAGAGAACGGAGGGGGCAAAACACTATAACCAAAGTGTTTGTCAGCACTAATGTTGTTGGTTTTGTTGTTTATTCTGAGCAAATGAGATAGCTCCAAAGAGGAAAAAGCTAAATTTCCGATGATGTTTTTCTGGCAACATTTTTGCACTAGTGTGAACTGTAGATTTTATTTAAAGCTCCATAAATTCCCATGTTCCATAAAAGCTTAACCAAAAAGGGAAGAAATTTCTCAAAAGTGAGGGGCTAACTTGAGTGCTTGCATAATGAGTGTCCCATGTCCCATTGATAGAAGTAAATATGAAAAGCAATTTAAGCAGATCATAATGCTTATTGTGCTCACTTCGGCAACACATATACTAAAATTGGAAGGATACAGAGAAGACTAGCATGGCCCCTGCAGAAAGATCTAATGCTTATTAAATCAAAAAGGAAGAGCTTCTCAGTTACACCTCTGTTCTCAGATACCAAGAGATGTACCCATCTAAAATAAACTTGGCCTGCCAGTGTATTAAAACCAAGAGGAGTTCTTCACACAGTGCGAGGAGGTGGTCTCTTGGAGAGGGCAAGCAGAGAACAGCTCACTGTGAATGATCCATGGGCCCGTATGAGACAATTGGCTGCTATAAGAAAAACAGATACTAAAAATACACTGAACACACCTCCCAGAAGCAGGGTCAGCAAAACAGTGCTAGGGAGAGAATAGGTGAGTGAAGAAGGAATGACAGGATGGACGGAAAGGAAGCTAGACTCCAGCCCCAAAGAAAGACGGCATCTGCCCTTGGCCTTCTGCAAATTCCCGGAGTCTCTGCAGGCTGCACCAAACTCCTGAGTTCCAGTCACTCCAGAACCATCCCATAATGAGCTCAGCGAGGAAAGATACGCTTTTTCCCAGCACATTCACCTAGGATATCTTTAGTTAAAAACACCTTTGCTTGAAATTCTTGCCTTGTGGGTACTTTAAGAAAAGCTGGGGTTTTTTTCTTCTCCATCTTACTCACAAAGAGCACATTTAATACCTTAAACGCAATGAGCCTTTAAAAAGGTGACAGAGGGAAAAAAATAAATAGATAAAATAAAAAATAAAATAAAAAGGAGACAGAGGGAAAACTGAATGATCCAAAAATGAGAAACATCATACTAATCTGGTAATGAGATTTCTTTTTTTTTTAAGATTTTATTTATTTATTTGACAGAGAGAGACACAGCGAGAGAGGGAACACAAGCAGAGGGAGTGGGAGAGGGAGAAGCAGGCCTCCCACTGAGCAGGGAGCCTGATGCGGGGCTCGATCCCAGGACCCTGGGATCATGACCTGAGCCGGAGGCAGACGCTTAATGACTGAGCCACCCAGGCGCCCCATGAGATTTCTTTTAGAATGAGGAAACAAAATGCTCATTTTTTTAGGTTCATTAACTCCCTTTAGCAGTGTTTTCATGGTCCAGATACAGGAATATATTATGTATGAGATGGACCTTCTGCTCCTGCTCAACTTCTTTATTTCGTCTCCAACCCACAAGAGAAGTTATGGTACGGGATTATTTAGGGAGAGGCTATCAGGGACTATAGAGATGTCTACAGAATATAGAATAGCAGCCTCCAAAGATTCACACTCCAAAAAATATTGGTTTCACTTTTTACAATAATTAAAAGAAAAATGGAAAAAGAATATAAATGGTCTCAAAAGAGCAGACACTGGAGGTTTCACGTGAATTCCCTGCAATTCAATTACCACGATGGAGATTCAGTTCAGGGCATATTGTTATTGTGAGCGAAGAAGGTCAATAGGCCGCTTTTCAGGGTCTCAGTGGCTGTTTTATCACAGATACAACGTACATGGAGGCTTGGGGCCCCACTGTCTGCAGCTGCTATAAGCTAATTTTCTAGGATAACATCAAAGAATTGCCAACAATGATTAAATTTAATGTCCCCATGATATTATAAGCTATGTCTTTTGGGAAGGAGTTTGAGCCTAATATTTAATACCAAAGATATGATTAAACACTGAAAAGTAAATAAATAAATCATGCCTAGCAAGAAAGAGCAAAATCATTCAGCTACAGCTATCATATTTACAGACACAATTAATGGCTCGAATGCTTAGAAAAATTAGATTACACAATTTCTAAGTCTTTTTTATCAAAATTTTTTTCTCCATGGGACTTACCCAACATTCAGAGATCTATACATTTTTGTTGCACGTCAGTGGGTGTTGACTGCTGATGAGGATGATGCTGTATCCTCAGAAGTAATGACAGCAGAGGTGGACACGCTTGTGATCGCACCCATATGCCTACTGCCAGGACTAGACTCTGGGTGGACAGAGTGGACAGCGGCCAGCCCATTGTGCTTGGAAGCGAGCCGCTGGGAGGCTCCCTTCAGCTGTGGTGGAGAATCTGGTTGCAGCCCTGCCCCAAGTTAGCTGCTTGATTTGGGACGAGGATTTTGTTTGTTCTTGTTATTTGTTCATTAAGTACACTAAGCCTCAGTTTCTTTGTTTGTAATCCGGGGACAATCGTGCCTGTCCCACAAAGTTATTGGGGCAGATCTCCCCTTGTGGAAACTGAGTGGCAAAGCACACGGCATGCCTTTTACCTACTGGGTCATCAGGAGTTCCCCACTAAAATAAAAAAGTAAGTAAATGAAAAGGCCCTTCTGGCCCTTTGGAAGGTCATGGAGAGGTTGTGCATTAACTAATCCATACTTGTTGGCCCTAAGCATGAATTCATTCTTCAGAACGGCTAATCCCCGGCACAGCAGTGGGGCACCAGGTCCCTTGGCCAAGCATGGGTGGGGGCAATGGGGCAGGGCTGTGTTGGAGCAGAGGGTGTTGCCTCAAGGGTGGCAGTGCCCGTCAGAGCCACCGGAGGGGTATGAGAACGCTCTGGGCAGAGAGCAGGGATCATGCAGCCTGGGGAGGACCGTAGAGAGCTGGAGGGGAGATGGGGCACTGGGGCATCAGGGAGGCTTCCTTCTCCCCCGGCCCTGCCTTCCTCCTGCTTCCGTCTCACCTGCATCCTGCTGGTGACCTCACTGTTGCGCCCAGACCCCACACCCTGACCCTGTGCCCGTAACAGCCCAGACAGAGCTCTGCAGCCATGGCCCAGAGAGACTGCCACCTGCTCAGTGACGAAGGGGTAAAGAGAATGCTGCTTCTCCCTCTCCTTTAAGTGGACCTAACCTTATGGTTTGCATTGTCTTATTCTGCTTCGGAAAATAAGTAGCTATACATGGTCATAAATATTTTCACCCAATTCAAAAACAAAGAAAAATGGTAAAAAAACAAAAAAACAAAAAAAACAAAACACCCATGATCTCGTTGCCAAAACCAAACACTGTTTCACTGCTTTGGATTTTCTTTCACATAAATTAGTACACACACATTTACCGACTGAGGCTACGAGATGTTTGGACCTTGTATTCCCTATAACTGGGCTCATCCTGGCGGTGAGGATGGGGGTGAAGGTATCCCAGGAGGAGGACGACACTGGAAAATTCCCATTCGAGAGAGTAAACTTACTTCGGTGGGAAGCAATGTCTTTCAGGTTACCTCGGTCTCTTTGGAAGTAGTTGTGTGTTCTGTGTTTGCCGGTTTCTTCCTCCCCCTCTGTTTCCAGGCCAAGGGGATAGAGAGCTACAAGTTACCATAAACACACCCCGTGGTTGTGTGTGCAGCCAGCAGAAGCCTACGCCATCTGTCGGGAAGGGAAGGCCCAGAACAGGTCACCCCAGGGTGCCAGTTCTCCCTCACACTGCCGGCTTCTACCAGTCCCCATTCTCCTGAACCTCCTTTCCAAGGGACTTGTACCCTGTCCCGGAGAGGGAGCACCCCACTCCCCCAGGACCACAGCCTCCCGTGTTCGCGCAGCCCTGCCTCTTCCAGAATGCGCTCCACTGGGGCTTACGGGAAGATTCTCTGTTCAGCCCTCAACTTGGATTCTGGCACATAGAGGCTCTCCCTCCCCTGGGGTCACAACCCTCCCTTAGGGCCTAGCCCTAAGGGGAAAAGGTTGTAGTAAAACAATGAAACATAAATTGATGTAATGTTTTCAAAATATCATTCCTGTTGGAAATGAAACCCACTGTTTGGTAACTTTATCTTTATTTTAACGATATAAGATATGTTGAGCATCACCAAGAGACAGCTTTCCACCCACCTCCTCTGGCCTGCCCCTTCAGTTCCATTCCTGATGACCCTCTTTATTCCTTCTTCACACCTTACACTTTCCAGATACTTATCAGTGCACTCCTCCTTGCCCTACCAGGCCTCCACAGGGATCCCTGCACTTAGAACAAGACGATAGTTTTGCAAAGGTTCATGCAAGGGGGCTCCTCCAGCTTCCCTGCACTCACACCTTTAAGCATATCAGCTGGTCACAGAGCAGGGACAGTTTTGGAATAAAAACTTGAGATAGAACTATCCCCACAGTTCACTCGTGGTTTACTGGTTTACTATATCTAATACAGTAAATCCTTTTTGTATGAAAACTATAGTAGTGTTACATATTTGTACAAAAGAAAGCACCCGTTTAGATGACCGAAATATTCTGGGGGTGCTTTTCATTAAAACATGAACGGCTTGCTTTGCAGATGTAGACTGTGCCTTAATTGCACTAAAAATTTACAAATGTGAGTTGAACAAACATGGAATCTAATAGGCTTCTTTCTCTAGCCCCTGCCTTCTCTGCCTTCCTGCCCCCACCCAGCCAAGTGCCCCAGATACTTAAAAGCAGGACTTAGAATGGAAAAGAACTATATAAGAAACCCTCGTACCTTTAGATTCTTCCACTTTATAGTTTTGTGGTGGTGTGAAATTTTATTTTAACAGAATGAGTCAAATAAAGACAATTCCATAATACTGTTTTTAATTGAAATTGGTGATTTATCTTATTAATTTTATTTTTAAGAGTTATATTCTAATTAAACAATAATGAGAGATAATACCAGGGGTTTTCTCTCCTTAATAATTTATTTGGGGATAAAATAATTTCATTTTTTTAATACTTTATATTGAATGATATAAAGGTCTTTAAAACACAATTCGAGTTTTCCTTCCTAGAGCTAAAATCCACTTTTGATTTCTCCTTCTTGACTATTCCTCTCACTGATTGGATGACAAGCTATGTGAGGATTCTACCCTGAAAATGCCTCCACCCAATCTTTACTTTGGGCTTGCCTCTCCTTGTGGTGGCCCCACCTTGGCTGAGCTATACCACCATCAACCCCATCAGCTTCAGGCTGCCCCCATCTTCCCAGTGGCCTCGCCAGAACATTCCTGGGGTTAAGCCCAGGTAAGTATTCCCTATAGGATGACATCCAACTTCTTTAGCATGGTGTCTTGGTCTCTTGATAGTTCTTCCCACTATATCAAGAATTGATCATTTTCATCTTCCAATGTCTGTCTTCCAATGCTGGCTTTGGGTGACATTTATTTATTTATTTATT